GGGGGGAAATTCAGAACTAAAAACCTAAGCTTTGATGTTTTAACTCAATCACAGAAATGTATGTGAAATTTGCTCAAATATAATTGCAATTTTCCTCACTTTAATTTTGAAAACTGAAAATCTAGGTCTGTTGAACTAATAGTATGTTTGATAGACGTAGGCTACCAGATGAGACACACAGCCTGCTTGGATATGTATGAGAAAAAAAAACACACATACGGTTTTTTATGGTTTTTGAGCACTACTCTGTACCACTTTTTAAGTCTAATACTATTAAATCCTTTCATTTTTTAGTTTAATCCCACTGCTTGATTCTCAAAGACTTTAGGACTTGCTTTGAAATAATAATGATAATTAAGTATCTGCTTTTATTTCTTCACCATCCCACTCTTTCACCCCTACAGGGTGTCTCTTCTAAAGCTTTTAGTGATGATAAACCGTTCAGTAAAGATTTTATTTAGATACTGCAGTGTTACCAAGTGTGAGTACTGTAATGTAACATTTGTGTAGTGACGTAGGAACAACGTATTTCTTTTTGTCCCGATGTTGTCCGACAGACTTTATGAGTCATTGGTGTTACTTTGTTCAGTGGGGAGAGGAAAGATGGACCTTATAGTATTACTGTGGTAAAAATAAGGCCTCGATGCCTTAACTTTTAAAGCAAGGAAAGCTGTCTGTATGTTTTGCTAAAGAATCCCTCATTTAGAGTTCATGTCGCTTGAAGAGAGACGCATGCTATATAGATCACAGCTGAGGAACTGCCTGAAAGAATATTACGTTATGGGTGATCTCACATAGCAGCAGGAAAAGTTTTACTGGTTCACGCACAGCAGTGTGAAAAATGCAAGCCAACTCCAGGTCTGCTGAGCATCCAGACCTTGCTAGGGGTTTTTTTTCAGTTTGGTTTATTTTTTATTCTTGGAGCAGTTCTCTGCCAAATGCCCTTATTTTATGGATACTGCATTTGTTTAGGCAAAATGTTGACATAACAGTTAAAGACAACGTGTTGTTGCAGGGCTGTTTCAAACATCAGTAACCGTGAGTTTTATTATTATCCCATCCCGATCTTCTTTGTGCGTCTTCTTCAAGGAAAATAGTAATTTCAATTAGCAGTCTTAGAGCAAGTTCCTTCCATGGATTAAACCTGTATTGCTCTGACAGGGGAAGAGCTTGCTCTGATTTCCATTAGCAACAGGTCTAGCTTGCAGTGTTTTGTCTTATTCTTGAGTGTGACTATTGTTAAAATACAGTGTCTGTGCTGTGAAGAGTTGTGGTAGTTACTGGTGTGTGTAAATAAAGCTGACAGGCTGTATGCCTCTAACAGGAGGGAGCCATGGCTGCTGTTAGGGCTGGCGAAACACTCAGAGCACAAGCTCTCTAGTTTATTTATTTATTTATTTATTTTAAAGCACAGCTACAATGTACTTTGTCCTAGCTTTAGGATGTGGATACATGTGAATAAAAAAAAATCCATCATACAGAGAGACAGTGAGAAGAATGACCCATTACTTTTAAAAACGTAGCTGGCGATCTAAGCTATAGCTGGATGTGTAAGTGATATGGAATTATTTCATCATGTTTATGCTTTTATAAGAACTAAAAAAAGCCCAATTTAACGGAAGAGAATTTCTACTCTGTTGCTAACAGCATGAGGGAAAAAAAAGAGAATACAAACATACCACTTATTTTCTCCATTACTATATGTATGTTTTACCCTTTTGTTATAATTGAATGAAAAGTTAAAACAGGTACAAGAACTAAAGAAATCTGGTTCTCATTAGAGCTGATCTTGAACTCAGTGGTCTGAGCGTAGGTGCAGTACTGCTACTTAGCAGCAACATGTTCAAAGTCAAGTCTACCTTCAACCTGTCTGACATAGCTCATCTTCATGCAGTTGGTTGTATAGGTCATTCATAAGGGAATCTAGTCCTGGCAGAAGAAAACAACTACTAAAATTCATAACCTACATATGGACTTCTAGTCTTGGGACACTGGCAATGCATTACCTTAGGGAAAAAAAAGAAAAAATTACATATGGCCACATACAGTCTTTCACAATATGTCTATGAATTAGAGTCTATGTAATTTGCTTAGTTAGATAAAACTAAGATAAAAAACTTGGACCACTGAGGTAGCCGTGAGTTGTACTGTTAATCTCAGCAAGAGGTCACGTACTGGGTTTATGTGGTAAGGTTTTGGTAGCGGGGGCTACAGGGGTGGCTTCTGTGAGAAGCTGCTAGAAGCTTCCCCTATGTCCAATAGAGTCAATGCCAGCCAGCTCCAAGACAGACCCGCTGCTGGCCAAGGCTGAGCCCATCTGCGATGGTGGTAGCATCTCTGGGATAATGTATTTAAGAAGGGGGAGAAAAAAACTGCGTGGCAGCAGCCGGAGAGAAGAGTGAGAATATGTGAGAGAAACAACTCTGCAAGGTCAAGGTGTTTTTAAGATTTGGTTTTCTTTCTCATTATTCTACTCTGATTTGATTGGCACTAAATTAAACTAATTTCCCAAGTTGAGTCTGTTTTGCCTGTGATAGTAATTGGTGAGTGATCTCTCCTTCTCCTTCTCGACCCACGAGCCTTTTGTTATATTTTCTCTCTGCTGTCCAGCTGAGGAGGGGAGTGATAGAGCGGCTTTGGTGGACACGTGGCATCCAGCCAGGGTCAACCCATCACAGGTCATTAAAAGACATTTGACATTAAAAGACGTTTGTCATTGAAGACAAATGCAACTGAGTCCTTGTCAGTGTAAACTAACCAGAATGAAAGGCAGTAGAGAACAGGTGCTGCTACATTACTTCGGCATCACTAGCAACATGCTTCTCACTTGCCAGGAATAAAATGTAAAAACGTTTTTAAAAATGAGAAAAAGTCAAATAGACAATTTTTTGGACTCCTAAAAGCTATTGGGGAAGCATGTTCTAATTCTGGAGGCCTTAGTGAGTGAGAAAGGCTGCTTTTTCTTTCATACTTGATGAGACAGTATGAAGAACCTGCCTGTTGTAAATGGGCTTAGAAAGATGAGAAGCCTATATGGGGCTTGAAAAATCATGATCAGTGCAGTCTTGGTTTGCAAGTAGAGTCCCAGTGCAGAGACAGATGCTATCTCATAATTTTATTCAGTGGTGTTAAGAAACTGAATTTAAATGTCTGAAGGATTAATGAGCAGTGTCAAGATATTGTGCCACAGAGAAGGGAGCAGTCAGGCTAGAAAGCTGTGTGAATATCCTTGGAAAAGTGGTCATCTTGGCCGGCTGCTGCTGAAGGAATGAGAGGGTCCGTGGCAGTGGCACAGACCTTAGTCCCTCTTGCTGAAGACAGTGGCAGCAGCAACCTTGGCTTTCCATGACTTAGAAAAGACAAAAAAGTGGGGCCATCTCTGGCAGTTGCTGCCTCTTTCATCTGCCTGCTTTGCTAATACCTCGGGCCAAACCTAGCGGAGACATGCTCAGAAGAACTTTCCTCACTCAGACAGTGGACAGTTGGGGAGTGCTCTTGGGTAGCTCCAGGCAGAGTGTTTGGGTGATATCTAATGCAGGAAGAGTACTGTTGCACAGTATGAATGTCAGTTATATTTCCTTTTCAATAAGCAAGCTCCTCTGTGTTAAGTTTCTTACTCAAACACCTGCTAGGCCATGCAGGGTAAAGAGTAAGATGAGCGTGAGCATGGGGGAAATGAAAAGAACAGACTGGATACCAGAACAAACAGAACAAGTGAAGAACATGTAAAGCAATGACAAGCAGATGTTCACCATGGCGCTCATTCACTGGGACAGTTTCAGTGCTTTGTTTGATACAGAAAATGCTAAGAGAAGTACAGGGTTCAATTATGAGGCTTCTTCTGGATTAAATTTATGTACAAGCCAATAACCAAGTCGACTACCAGGAGCAGGTGTGACAAAACCTTTCTTGTTTACTTTATTTGTACCACTACAGCATTATTAAAGGTCACTGTCACTATTACCAGTCCCTATTTCCAAAGATGGCTAAGCAGTGATTCTGGGCTGAAGTCTTCTGGGATAATACTCAATGTCTGTGCTGTTTCAGGGTGAGATTTCAACTTCTGGCAGTGCAAGTCAGGACACTGAAATTAATCTCCAGGTGTAAGTGTTAAAGTACCAGTCCTATCTTTGTACTTTAAAGGGAGAAGAGAGCAAGTGAACTTTTTTCACGCTCCTATAGCTACACTTAATGCCAAAGATCTGGGTTCAGCAAGTGTTAGATCTACTGAGGTTCTTGGCCTGTCAGCAAAGGCATTAGTTTCTGACCTCAGGTACTCACGGACAGATGGAACTTCAAAATAGTACACTCCTTATTAATAAGTAAGTCCTGGTTTTCTAAATTCAGTGATTTAGAATTATAAACCTTATTGACTTCATCATCAAAACTGGATTAACATTCATTAACCTTCAGTGAGCCTCATATGCCTGACCCTTTTGACAGTTTTGAAAATCTCTCTTGGAGTATTGGTATTTAATTTGATACTTCAAAATGTGTTCTGTGTTCACAACATAATGGCTTCCACTTAACAAATGTCAAATCTTGGCTGCTATTAGTCCAGAACACAGTGTACTCTCTTGTGACATGAACTGTCTAAGACCACTAATGAAGTGAGGAATAAAGCCTGAATTAAAGCTCCAAATCCCCTACCTGTTGATATTTTCTTCAGACAAATATCCTTCCCACAAAGGATTGAAGTCAGGTATAAAAATATGCTCTGTAGACACGTACTTTGCTAAAGTTTCCTTTTGTGAGTAATAGATCCCTTTTATGTTTTCTGCAAATCATGCTGAATAAAAAAGGTGCTGAATAAAAAAGGTAATTTCCTTTGCAACTACAAAAATAATTTCCCAATGGCATTTTGCAAGCATTCACCTAACTGGGATGCTCTCTATCTTTCTTCCTTTTAAAATGTCAAGCAGATAAAAGTCTTCTAAATAGCATTCTTTCCTATTTTGATTAATTTTGCATAGTCTTTTCCCAGAAGTATTGATACTTACATAAACCTGAGTTCTGATTCTCTTCTGACTAAGACTTCCCGAAGTCTCTGGATCTTTGCCATCTCAAGCTCAATTTCCTCAGGCATCATTGTTGTTTCAGCCATTGAAATGATGTCAAGTTGATCTGTGTGTGAAAGCAGAGAAAATGAATTAAGTTAGTCACTGTCTTAATGGGAATTTTTAGGAATGTAAATTTAATCACAGAGCTATCTGACTATGGGGTAATTAATACGAGTAGTAAAGAATATTCTAGCTGAATACTACATTGACTGGTTTATTGTTTTGCTTATTACTTTCAATGTAACCATTTTGAAGTGAAAGAATCCCTAAGCCAAGCTGACAGACATTTTGTTAGTCACAATCTATCATACCTCTAAGGAATCCCAACCCTGTACGTAACTATAGCTACTGTTCCTTAATTGATATCACTACAAACTTTGAAAGAACAGCTGTAGACTGCTACAAAACTCACTCAAAGCAATTACTTGCAAGTCTGAAGAGTCCTATCTTGGCGCAAGTGCAGGCAATGTAAACTGATGAAGGTTTCCCATCTTTAATTCTTATAACTCTTCATGCCATTCCACCATCTCAGCTTGACTCACAGCTAAAGCCCAGACCTACTAGAGAGGAGCTAAGGATGTGATTAGAAATGACATGGGGCCTAGTCCTTTGAGGGGCTGAGTGTTCCTCACTAGGGCATTGAAATCAGTTGAGGAGACAAACAGCACTTTGTAATAATTACTTGGCAACTGGTAAGCGAGGGTCCTTCTATGATTATTTCTCTATAATTGATGTATTACGTCTTCTAATCCAGAGGGCTATGAACCGTGTTCATTGAAGGTAGAAGGAACCAATTTATAGAAGGTGGATTCATGAAGGAGCAATGTGGCCACTGGAAAACCTTATTGCAATGGTTCCCCATACTTGGCCTTAATTTTTAACAAGAATTTAAGAGACTAAAAAATAGAGTGCCTGCATGTTTTGGTACCCAAGTGTACATATATTCCTGAAAACAGGCCTGTTTCAGCTGTATTGGTTTAAGAAAGGAAAATGGTGAGGTCAAAATGTACTCAGCATGATTATGCAGAAAACAGGAGACAAAAAGCATCAGAAAAAAGCTGTTTGATTAATTAAGAGACAAATTCTGAAGTCACTCATGACAGACTAAGCACAAACACTTAACAAGAATTTCTGACAGAAACTTGGAGTAGGAATGAAACTACAAAATCTCAACACAGCCCCTGCATGAGCTTAATTCACAAAGACCAGTTCTCCCAAAACAGAAGCAAAGTAAATACATTTTCTTTATATCCTATAGAATTTATTTTGTTTGTATATTGAAAAAAAATTCTTTATATATAAAAATATGTAACAGCTATTTTTTTAAAGTTATTCTGCTAATATTGTCTGCAAATTTTGGCTTCACTTCATAATGAAGAAAGCGGGCAAATAAAAATTAAAAATCACTTTTTTCCTCAAGATAACAGCATCTTGAGGAAAAAAGTGACACACGTTGAAATGTCTCTCATGAGAGAACAACCATTTCTCATTACTTGTTTTTAAAACTCATATTGCAAAACTGGTTAGTAAAGTAAGGCTACCTTGTGTGTCTGAACACACAACTGCTGCCTGTAGAAGGTAGATTTTCCTATCAGAAATCATTGTTGTTAGGGTATATTTAGTTGAGGTGTAGCCTAGATGTCCTAAGACGTGTTGTTCCAGCTCTGTCAGCAATGGCTAGCTTCATAGTGCAAAGCACATGAGTCTCTTGAAATCCCATACACTAACTTAGATGTTGAAATAGAACCTAAAAACCTTGGAAATTTCAGATGTATTTGAGGAAGGCTGAACACCACTGAAAATACCTTAGGGACTGTATCCTGTCCCACCTTTTCCCTCCCCTCACACCCTTATCTGGGTGTGTGGGAATGAGGAACCACAGCAGTCTTGGACTTAGTAGCAGAGTACCTAACATGCTGTGCTATCAGTAACAGATGGGTAGAATTATAATTCAATATTCACCAGATGTTTATCAGACATCAGTCAAAAGAAACTAGAACAAAGATTCTGTGAGTATAGTTTTGCCTCTTGTTGCTTTTCAGGGTTGTGGAGTTATTTTAACTGCCTGCAGCATGATTGGCTTTGGTGCAAATTTATTTTCCAAAAAATATTAAGCAGGAGATAGAAAGTTACTCTGATGCTACCATGAATTAAAGCCAATAATATTGGTAATTAGAAAGATAAGCCACAAATATATTACACACACATACATATTTTAAAATCAGTTCTCAAGAGCTCAGAAAACAGAAAAAAAAAAGTAACTATCTTATTTCCACTCTCCAACTCTAGCTGTAAATGCCCCAGTGTTACCCCCTGGATCAGATCAGCTATCAATACTGTGACTTCAGTAATTCAGGAGGGGAATCATGAACAAGCCTTATGCCCTGAGTATGTGCTTGAAGCCGACACAAGAATTAGTGTGACAAGCAGCGGTCTAGTCTGACCTCTTGCAGAACTGTCACAGATCCTCCTTCGCATCCCACTCAATGTGTGCTTGAACCAGAGAAAATATTTTTGAAAGCTATCAAAAATTATGTAATGTCTTCAAAAGAATCCAAAATGTAAGCAAGGCACCACAAGCTTGAAAGTGGAGGGAAATAAATATAGAAACCATCAGATAATAGTTCACAACTTGTCTGCAAACTTAGAGATGTAGCTACAATAATACAGAGATATAAGAAGTGGTTTAGTTTACCTTCATAGCAGTACATGTGCTGTGAACATACTGAAAGGTAATTAACTCTCATGGTGGAAAGAGGATTGGCAAGAGCTGGATTAAGGGAACTTTGAGAAGAAAAAACAGACCGGGCAGTTGAAATGGGAAGAAATTTGAAGGTGAGGATATAGAGAACTGAGTATGGAAACACTGGAAAGTGTGAAAACTCACTGGAAGAGATTAAGAACCAGTTCTAGAGGAGTAGGCGTGGTCTTCCAAGGAGAAGAAACTGAGGTCAGTCCACACTTTATGCATGTTCACCTGTGCAATGTTAAAGATCAGTGTCATTTTTGCATCGAATCTCCAGCTTTTCTAACACTCCCTTCCTAGCAGGTAAAGATTAAGTGAGCTCCTTTGACAGCTGCCAATTCCCTTTATATAGGTGAGTGCATAGGTCTCATAAATCCAACACAGCTGCAGTATACGACTCACTGTGGCCCCCTCTGAAAAGTAGGTATTTTTAAGGCAGGTTTTGAGGGGAAAAGGCACAGTTAGAATACCGTATTTCCCCCAAATCCTGAAATAGTAGAGCACAGGTGTGAGGACATTCTGGAAAAACAAGCTTCTGAAGAGGCCATAGGTCAGGTTTCCCACCTCACACCTTCACCACTGTGTTCCTCACAAATCACCAACCTGTTCGTGTCTAAATTTCTCTTCTAATATTGTGGATAACTGTTTGGCCTAACTGGCAGCAGCTATGCTGAAAGATAATTAATTATTTTTCATAAAATGGTTTAAGCTCCTGAGATGTAAACCACTGGGGAAAGAATATGTTAACATTATTAAGCTTTTGAGTAAAGCTCTAGCTCTGTCCCAGTGGTGAATGACACCTTTAGTGCGTTGAGACATGGTTCTGAACAGCTTCACACAGAACTCTCTTACTCTTTTATAAAAGAAAGAAGAAATGTTTCATTTTATTTAAAGCAGGCATGCATTAGTGAATGATTTTTTAGCATATATTGTTATTAAGCTCTGTTTCTGGTAATGAGCTAAAATTCATAAAGCAAAAGTGGAGACAACACTGAGATTAGTCACAGCCAGTGACAGGATGAAACTATTTTGTCAGCTCTACAATCTCCAGGTTAATTTTCAGTGACAAAGAAACAAGTCAAATATTATTACTGTATGCACAAAAATATATTAGCTTGAAAATAATTACTATATAGAAATAAAATTATCAAGCTATAACATATAATGAGAGGGACTGAAGAGGTAAACCTGAAGCTATTTATGCATATTTTTGCTTCAATTTAAATGCAGACTGGTATAGTTAAACTGGGTATTAACTTAATGATCACATTTCATCCTCAGTGTGCCAGCCAGAAATGGAACATTAGCCACCTGTGATGAAAAGCAACAAAAAAAATAAAATGCCTATTAAGTCAGTAAGTGCAAAAAAACTTTATAAGAAGCCTGAAGTGATACAATGAGAAATGGGAGAATGCATTACACCTGTTGTCAATAATTTCAGACAAATTGGCAAGGAATGCTGTAAGGAAAAAGTAATTATCAGAAAAAATCCTGCTGCTGTCAATTGATGCAAGCATACTGTTCACTGAGAAGCTCGTTGTGCTCTGCAGTCATTAGCTGGTGTAATTCTAATTTGGGGTTTTGTTATCATCTTTGTAAAAGACAGAGGCATGGAGAACGTGAGGTGTATTGATAACACAAAGGGTCCCAAACTTATGCTGTAGGAACCCCAAACTATGTCATTGTTATTCTGGTGGTATCCACGTATGAAGAGCAATCAGACCTGTACTCCATGAACACCTAAAGCAGCATGCAGGCAACTGGCAGTCTAGAGGCAGTAAGAGCTGGTTGTTGAGTTGCTTATGGATACACAGCAAGTCTGTGGCAGAGCCAGTACAAGGTCTGCTGCATCACAGTGCCTCTTCAGGACATTGTTCATCTTTTTTCTTGCTTGTGAATCTGTTGCTGTTGGGAACTATCAGTCACTCATCCTTGAAGAGTTATCTCAGTCATTTAGCAACAGAAGAGCTCCAGCACAGGTAAGGGTAATAGCCCAGCTACTCTGCCACTTTTTTCTTCATCTTTGACATGGATGAACCATCTTAAATGAGCCTCTGTGTTTGTTCAGTCCATGACTGTTGAGAGCTCTTTAAAGAACTACAGTACAAATCAGCTGCATGGCTTCTCTAATGTGAGCACTACTCAGCAAAAATCTGGCTGCTCAGCCCACTCAATTACAGTGCTTCAGTTGAAAATTATGTTAAACCATTGTTGTCCTGGGTTGGATTTAAACTGAGCAATTTGAGGCCTATTTCCACTCCCTTAAGTTGTCCAATAATAAGATAATCCTTGTTAAAATACTGTTAATGGCTAAGTTTTATTCCAGATCTGGGTCAGTGCCTTTGGGGCTTTCTCAAGAATTCAGTGAGGTTCTCAAACTAATCCTTCTTCAATGAAGTATACTAAATGCTAATGGAGCACAGTGCCGCAAGTCCACTCTTAATGCTGTTTCAAGTATCAAAATCAAGACTTTCAAGACCACTATTAGTTGATGAGCCAAAGCAGAAGTGAGCAGGAGACACAGGTTAGAGACAGATGAAGAGAGAACCAGATGGTGCAACTTAAAAACAGAACTCTTGGTGGAAACTGAAATTCATAGTTGCATAATGCAGAAAAATAAACTGTTATAGTAAAAAATATTCCAGATAAAAATGTTCATGTGTAAAGAATCAGATGATTCCTGTAGTTTGTCACTAGCTTGTCACCTGGAGGCAGGCCTTTTACTATACTTTTTACTGTTGCTTCAAATGTATTCAGAGGCCCAGAGTTTTTGGGGTTTTCTTCTCTTTGATTTAACCCATCTGGAGCAGGATACAGTGGCCAATAACTAACCTGTGCAGAAAAAAACCCTACATCTAACTGCTTATGCCTTATCTAGCCTGCTGCAGCATTCTATGACTGTGAATCCTAACAATGATTAAATTTGGCACGTGGAATGGTATTTATTCAATGTTTTATGCTGGAATTACCATAGAAATATGGCTAACAGCTAAACACAATACAAACAGCTGCAATATATTTTGTTCCTGGCTTCTTTAACAGGCAGGCAACATTGTGCAACTTAAAATGGGGGACTGGGGGAAGGTGGCATAGGGATAGTACCGGGGTAGAAGTGACCTGACTGTCATAGTGTTGAGCACATCCCACCACTCCGGCTAGTTTGACTGCCTGGGCTCAGGGTTAGTTTGGACATGGTGCAGCTGTCTGGCATTTTGGACATGGTGCAGGTGTCTGGCTTTGAGAGGCCTCAGCAGAGGCTTCCCCTTTTCTTCCCCCTCCTTTTGATCAGAAGCAGATTTCAGGCTGAGGCTCTGACCCTTGGCCCTTGCTCTGCCCCCTGCCCTGGGGACCCGGACTTGACTTCCCACTTGTCCTTGGGCCTGCCTTCTACTAGGGATTTTCCTGGAGATCTGGACTGTGACTGACCCTGGTGGTTGTCACCAGACCTGCTCTGCTTTCCTTGCTCGGGTACTATTGGGCTGCACCCGTGCCAGTGAGGACACTGTCCCTGCCCCTGCCTGCCTTGTTATGACTCTCAGCACAGAACTTGCCGACCCTTTTGGAGCTTCTTGCGCACCGATCCTTCACCTACAGTTATTAATGGAAGTACTCCTCATGACTGCAGTGAACCTCGGACAAAGGCTCACTTCACCAGGGTTTCCCTTTCTTACTTTTGATGATTTCTGGAGAAATTCCAAAGGAATCTGCATATATAAATATAGACTGTGGGAACTAGTACCACATCACTGGACATCTGTTTCAAACAGCAGTGCATAGGCACATTACCTGCTTCTAAGTGCATTACATAAGCTCAGTGCTTCTCATTCTCTCTTTCCATGAACAATGTTTTAAATATTTTTGTACTGCCTGTGAGTCCCAATGCCTCTGAGATAGAGGCCGCTCTACATGCATCCCAGGAATCAGTCCTCATCTTGCTGCAGAGTACAGTCCACAGTCCATTTCAGCGGATTATTTAAAAAAATGCTATATTCTTCCTCAAGGCAAACTCTTCCCTCTGCTTTTCAACCGGCCCTCCTGTTTCATCTCTTGCACTGCGAACAGACTGGTGATGACAGCCAATTTAGTAGAAGTTGGAATCATGCTGCTGCTTGTATCAGGCCTCAGTAACCAGCCAATAGGCTACACTGAGGCAACAGGAGCGCACACACCTGACAAGTTTTAACACTGTGGAAAAACTAATCTCTAAAGGCAATAGTAGGGTGCAGAGGCTATTACTGGAGGAGAAAAAAAATAACGTTCTACTCCCCTTAGACGTGCTCTGGTTCTCAGAATCACTTTGCTCCCACTGCCATCAATAGCACTGAATACTGCAGATGACACAGCTGAATTTTGCTTCTAGCAGGAAGCTGAAATTTTTTTCTTCTCTACTATGCCTGTTACAGCTTTTGAATCCCTATTAATACTTCTCCATGGGTTGTGCAACACATTTATTTTGGAATCGCTGGCATGTACAACCAAGAGCTGGCACAAATTGAGCACATATCCTTCCCAGGTGGCTAGATGTGCTTTGTCCCTGCAAGTAATGGCGGCCAGAAACTTTCTGACAAACTGAATCTGCTAGAAAATGCCAGAGAAGTGGCATTCAGAGTATGTGGGGGCTAACATCTTGGATTCAGTACATTTACTATGAAGTCAAAAGGAATGCCTCTGTGCAAAGAGCCTGATTTCCTATCAGTGCATGAAGATCCAGAGCAGCCTTGCAGTTCTGGAGATGTTAAATTCTCCATAAAACCCTGGAAGCAGAAGTTTCAACTGCAGTGCAGCTCCCAAGTCACAGGAGGTAATCCTGGAGCCCTGAAAAACTAGCTTAAGCTAGGCATCAAAGCTTACAATATTTTTGCCAGACAGCAGTGCACACAGAAATCCCAAAGCTCTTTTTTCACATATTCCATGTCTTGGGGTAAACCTCTGGACTGGTTGATTCCCCTTACAGCTTCACTTTGCAACAGGCAGCAGTGAAATCTGGCAGCTCTACGGAACCCCTTTGGCAGGAAGGAACCAGAGATGCATACTGCAAGCTGATTAAATGCCAGGATCTCGGGGAATGTCACAGTCACCAAATACCCCTGCTCCTTAACAGTCATTTGGGGAAGGAGAAAAAGATGATGGGGGATTTTTATGACTCACGGGGAACTGTGGTGCATCCATGCTTCCATTAAACCTGAAATACAAAGTACTGGCCACCTCAGCTCTGTACTGTGCTGCGCAAAGATGACATGACATGTTCTGAGATGAACTGCTAGACTAAAGCAATACCTTCACATCTGCCATCCATTCAGCAGTCAAGAGATCAGAATTTCATGTCTGTGGAGAGAGACTCTGGTACAACCTGTAGAGAAGCACGACAACTCTCTGAGATGATCAAAATGAATTATTACACATTTAAACTGGCCATTTGTGGGAGGAGGGGAAATCTTGCCTTCATAATAATGGTTAGAATCACTGGGAAAAGCACTTGTTGCAGCATCAGCTGCAGTGAAAAAAATTTTATTTTGCAACTTGGGAGAGAATAAAAAATACATTCCCTGAGAATGACGGCTACTTTTGCACAGATTGCTTATGGAAATGTAATTTTTTAAAAATAAAAATTAAAATCTTCTCATATTAACAGCATTAGTAAAGACTAGGAAAGACATGAGCAACCTAAAAAGACACATTTATTATATGGCAAATACACCAATTCTGGAAGGGTTTGTTTCAAATTTGTCGAATTAATTTGTTGAATTGATTTGCTGAATTAATTTGTCAAATTAATCAACCTTTGGAAGAAGTCATATATGGATTATTTCTTTTGCCCTACTCATCTGCCGCGTCTCATTCAGTATTTGACCACCTCTCAGTCTTGTTTAGTATTCAACATTGAACATCAAAGATGATCTGTTTCTGTAATATATGAAATTACTCCTTCCTGTTTTCTAATAATAGGCTACTATGACTTATAATGAGTATGTGCAGTTTTATGCATATCTTGAATCTGGTTTATGTATTTTCTGCCATCTTTGAATAGTCTGATCAGCATTCACTAAACACATATAAATAACTTCAAAATTATAAACAAAACAAAACTTGGAGTTTTCTTTTATGTGGAAATCTTAGCAGTAAGCCCTACACAGTATAAACTTTGTTGGGGAAAAAGCAGCCAGGCTGAGGGGACAGGAAAGTGTGAACTTGTCTTGTGGAGATGATTAGCTCCGGAGTTCCCTTCTTCTAATCCAAGGCTCACTGAAGTCAACAGAAGTCTTTTACCTCAGCACATTTTTTTCCCTTTTTTTTCCATGTGTCATATGTAACTTTTCCTTCCAGGCATGCAGCTATTTTTGCCTTTGAAGGAGAAGAATAAGTTTGAAAAAGTCTTGGAAGTTCAGGCTTGGCTTTTCAGAAATCTGTAGGTATTCTCTAAAACTGACTAACAACCTGATCAATTTTGTGGAGCTGGGCTGTGATATGTAAGCCTTTGGTCAATGCTGAAGGAAGAAAGAATGCAGAAAAAAGCAAAACAGTAAGACAGAACTGACATTCATAATTCTGTTGAGTTTAACAGAATTTGAATGAGTCTCTGAAACATCAGATGCTAACAAAAAGACCCTGTTGCTAAAAAGCACCAGAAATTATTCTATTCTGTTTGACATATCATTTCCTTCCAAGGTGTATTAAATCATCTGAAGTGACTGGAGATCGCTCTGTTCAAAGAGTCAGCTGTGGTCTGAGTACAACAGCACAATTATAATACCGGAGTTTATTTTGTCCAGGTCATGAATACTTTTTTTTTTTTTAAATTACCACAGTTAGATTTACAGTCTAGACATAGTACAACCTGAGTTTCCACTTCAAAAGTGTCTCACACAGTCCACCACATGACCCCATTTTAAAATTAGGTAAGCTGAGAATATAAAAAGCACTGTGTGCAATTGTCCATTGCACTTCCAGAATCACTGCCCTGTGTTCCAGATCTAAAAGCCTCTTGTTATAAAAAGATTCTTTTAGTTGCTTATCCTGTACATTCTTGATCTTATCTTCAAGCTTTGACCTTTTATTTTGCATTATTTACCTTTGCAAAAAGCCTGTTGGCAGCAGTCTATTCTTTTCCATTTCAAGCTTTTGTACACTGTGGTCTCACTGAGATTTTTCTTGAAATATAAATGCCAGATTCACAGTGTTGAATATTAACTCCTTCCCTAACTCTCAAAGTCCTTTTGGTTTCTATGGTGTCACACTCAAAGTATGACACACAATGACTCCTTTCATGTTTCTGATGTTAAGAAAATGCCTCTACCTGCCCAGTGCCCAAATGAGAGTCCTGGTTGCTTTGCATCTTTTATGCTGTACTTCTGTAGATCAAGTAATATTGCACTAAAGAAAGGCTGGTTTAAAAACTGGATCTGAAAGAGATCCTGCTTTGAGTTTTCTAATTCAACTACATATTCCCAAGCAGAAGTAGACATTCAGGAAGTAAAAGTGATTGCTAAATAAGGATGGTCTTCAGTACTTCGCTAACTAGAAGTTTTATGGTTAAATGATGGTTCCAGCGTTCTAATTTAGGGACCATTTTCTGCCCTTATTCCCTATTTAAAAGATATATATCAGCACAAGTCTATAACTATAAGATCTATTCAGATCTCGCTTCTCAAAAAAAGCATCACTTAAATTGTCTTGTTTGTTATCCTGAGAAATTTATAAGCAGTAATTATTCTTGGCTTTGTCTTTTGTCAATTTATGACAGTTCCAATTTCCTAAGAGGGTAATTATGCAACCCTTTAATCTTGCACTTCCCATGGGAAAAAGATCTCTCTAGTCTTAAGAAGCTGCTCAGTGCACATAAGACTTCATTTTGGTTGTAATGATATCCTGAAAAAACAGCTCATCTCTCAATAGTTGTTCATCCTTCTCTGACAATGAAGACCCTGTGAATCTGCACCAGTCTGGAGTTCCTGTAGAAATCTAACATGATGCATAGGACTTAATGTGATATACAGACTTAATGTATCTTAAAATCTATACTGCCATCCTGTATTTGGATGATAAACTTCATTTGTTCTATCTTGCACTTAAGCTTTCAGGTTTTAGCATTCTCCTGACTTTCAATGCTGTCAAAACTGTAGAACTCATTTACTTATGAAGATGGAGATTTTGATTAGCTAAGAGGAAATCATCAAGGACAGGAGAAAGGATTATGTTAAATGATAATGGCTGGTGTAAAATTAAGTAAAGGAGAAGAATAAGCTTAGACTAGAAACTAGTAACTATCAACAGTAATAACATTCTGAAGCAGTCTTTCAAGTAGGATGTTGGAGGAAAGGAACCTAACCTGTTTTAAACTAAGATCAGAACATACAGATCTTTAAAGAGTCTGGCCTCACTTTGTGGGGCAAAAAAACCCAGACCAGTCCTATCAATAAGCTCAGGTATTGTATGATTGTCTGCAGTTGCAGGAGGGGGGACGCAGGAAGTAGAAAAGATTAATTTGACAATTATCTGTGCCTTTAAGGTAAGATTTGAGGTCCAGTGTCCTCTGCAGTCAAACATTGCCCACACAGAGATTGCAGCCTCTTTCTCCATGTATGAAGTCATAAGGATCCATCCCGTCAAATGAAACTATCACTTCAAGATCACGCACCACCTCTGCTTTCATATTCTTCTATCTGGATCTAAGGGTGTTTGCTTATGCAAGGAACTGACTCAGCACATTAGGACAATTTGCTACCTAATTATCTGTAACTAGAATAATTTATTTTCTAGCTGTAAATCTGTATACGATTTGTTGCTGGTTTATAGCACTATCATTATGATTTACATGTAGTTTTTTTCTATTCCTGAGAGTTCTATTAGCTTTCTCTATTTTGCTATGATGTCTTTGATCTGTGACTCACAATACCCTGGATACTCCCCTAAAT